ATTATAGTATATATTATATGGTATTATTAATGTCACTATTATTATTATTACTATATGATTATTATTATTATTTTGTCTTTCTTTTCTTTTTTTGTATTTTTATATATATTATAATATAGTTTTATTCATGTCACATTATTATTTTTTTGTTTTTTCTTTTATTTCTTTTCTTTTTTCCTTTTTTGTTCCAATCTGTATGTGAACAGGAAAGGGAATCAGGATCAAATCCTTGGTCAAAGTTCTATCAACACAAGTGCTGAAATTTTAGACCAAAAATCACGTTGGACAAAATGCAATCCCAAGATTCAAGCTTGGGATTGATTCTGTCCATTTCTTAAAATTGATCTTAAAAATGCTTATAAATTGGACTAGATTTACAGATGACACACACAAAAAAAATTTTAGAAGAAAGACTTGGAAAATTTTGGGCAGTAGGAATATTCTGGAAGTTTTGGGATTTCAGGTTCAATCTAGAGTTTTTAGGTTTGATTTTAGGTTGTTGGGGTTGGAATTAGGATTCTGGGAGGTTCTGGGAGTAATCTAGGCATATTTGGGAGAAATCTGGGAAAGTTTGAAGAAATCTGGGTTTTTTAGGATTTTTGGGAAGAGCATGAGTTTTTCAATGAATTTTTCGGTGATCTTTTGAATTTTTCAACCATTTTTCGGTTAGTTTTCTAGAAACCGATGAGTTTTTCAATTTTTGGTTGAATTTTTTTATGACTTTTTCAAAAACCGATGGAATTCCTAATTCCCAATTAAAGTTTTCAGTGGATTTCTTAGAGCATTTCTAGAGAGAAATTAGAGGGTTTCTGGTTTAGAAAGAGAAGAGACAGAAGGTTTCTGGTTTAGAAAGAGAAGAGACAGAAGGTTTCCAAGGATTAAAACGTAATAGGTGGCTTATATAGCAGCTCGGAATGATGTCGTTTTGGACAACCCATAATCCACGCGTTAACCTAATGACCTATGTGCCGACCCTCATTCTGACCTAACCCGATCACATGTTTTTTATTTTATTTTATTTTATTTTATTATTTTATTTTATTTTTAACCCATTTTATTTTTTTATATATATTTTTTTTGTTTTTGTTTTTAAGAAATTTTATTCCTGTTATTTTATTTCTAAAATAAATAAATTTTCTTTTAAAAAAAATGATTCTATAAAGCAAATAAAAAAAAGAAATTCTTTAAAAAAAATCCTTTAAAAAAAAACTTTTTTCGAATAAAAATCTTTACAAAATAAATTCATGAATTTCACCAAACTATTGGAGAATTTTCATGGTTTAATTTTTTTAAAAATTAAATCTACCAAACTATTGAAAAATTTCATAAATCATTTTCATTTCAAAAATAAATAAATAAAAAATAAAAGATATTCTTTTTATCCTCTAAACTATTTGATGATTATTTTTGGGTCCCACTAAACTATTGGAAGACTTTGTTAATTTTTTTGAATAAAAATATAAATCCGATGACGGAACCTTTTCAGAATGAGATACTAATCTCTATGAATACTCCTGATGTAAGAAAATTATCTTAAATTGCTATCAAACTATTGGGATAATTTTAGGGTTAATTTTTAATATTAAATAATTTGATAAATTATAAATATGATTAAGACTTGGATAATTTGAAATCAAACTGGTACCCGTCTTTTGGATGGGCACTATGAAGGTACTATAATCTTCTCCATGTGTAACCATACTCCTGAACTTAAACTCTGATTTCGTAGATCATAATATGTTTCAGGTAGCCAATCACACCTAAACAAAAAAGATTGATGACGACTCCTTCAAATTCATGTTTAGCGGTAGGTCCACAGATCTATATGTTATGACACTAATTCTTAGTAAATTCAATATAACCCACTTAGTTATATGCGTATATATATATATATATATATATTTGCATGCATATTTATTTGTATAGATAAATATGTAATTATTTTAAATTGTTGTTGATAAAATAAATAATTTTTTAAAAATTTTGTTTTTAAATTTAAAGAATTAAGATTATCATTTTAGTCTTACCTCATGAAATAATTTATAAATGTAATAAAATTAATTAAATGAAAATATCCAATGACGGGATTCTAAGAAGTTCGAATAGTGATTCGAGAATTTTCAAGGTGAGAGAATTTTTTTAAAAATATTACTAAAGAATTGAAATATTTAAAATGATTCTCAATATGAAAGAATTCTCGTTTATTTTTCATTTCTAAAAACGAACTTTTTTATAATACAATAGCATCACAAAATTAATCCATGTGTATCATAATAAAAAATATAATAATAGCAAATGAAATCTCCAAGGATGAGATTCTAAAGAAGTCTGAGTAGTGATTCTTCAAGAATTTTTAGATGAAAAATTTATTTAAAATGTTGCCAATGCATCAAAACATTTAAAATAATTTTCGATAAAGGTTTTTTCTTTTTTTTTTAATAAATGGCATAAGAAATGAACTTTTAGAAAATATTATTTGATTTTAAGTTATATGTATCATATTTTATAATATATTTATTAAACATAAATTTTGATGATAAATGTGGATCATTGAGAATATGATTTTTGAAAATTTCGAGTAGAAATTTTTAAAATTTCTTAGTTGAGAAAATTCTCATTAATATTGTTAAAGTATTGAAATATTTTCAAAAAATTTTCAATATGCAAGGTTTTATTTATTTTTTAAAAATAAAAAATACTAAAGAAAATAATAAAATAAAAATATTTTTACAATAAAAAAAAGAAATTAAGTTTTAAATATCAAAATTAAGACTTTTTTGTCAAAAATTAAATGATAACACATAATTAATTAGTACCGTTTTAAACGAACATTATTAGGAGCTATGAGGATGCTAATAATTTTCACATGTAACCGATTTCTAAACTCAAATTATTTTTCAAACCCAAAAATTATCTTTTTAATAAATTTTATTTTTTAAAAATTTCATTAAAATGATAAATCTTAATATGTGACTAATCATATATAATTAAAAAATATTAGTTATGACTTCATTTTATTTTTTAAATTCGTTTAATAGTCTCCAAAACCATCATGACACTAATATCTCTAGTTAATTTGGATTATTATGGGTAAACAAAAGTTTTGGCAAAAGAAATCTTCATTCAAATTTTGTTGACATCATTGATCGATTGTAATTATGTTTTTTGGGTTAATATCACTAATAATTTTTAAATTAAAATAAAATATTTAATGTGATATTTAAATTTAAAAAAATTTTAATATAATATTTGAATTATTAATTTATTAATTTATGTGATTTAGGATTTAGAAAAATGAAGTGTCGTGTCCATAATTTTTGTTTTTGTCTTAATAAATTCAATTTATAATTTTATTTTTGGTTGTATATAATCTATGCTAATTCTATGTCTTCTTTTTAAAATTAGAAGGGGGTGTCAATGCTTTTGCCCTAACTAATTTAGCTAAGTTGGATTGTATGATGGGTGATCAAACGTTTTGGTAGAGATCTCTACCCGAATTTTTCTGTAATCTTCATTTCATCTAATTTTTCTCAATTAAATGTATTTTTTAAAAAAAAAACAAAAACATAATATTGACACGCGTATTAACAGTTCTACGTCAACAATGAAAGTTAGTAGCATAAGCCGACTGCTTATGTATAATTTTTGTCCTTGCCTTAATAAATTCAACTTTTAATTTTATATATTTTTGGTTGTATATAATCTTTAATAATTATTAAACATCTATTTGAATTTAGCATTATGAGTTAAATGACCAATTCAAATTAAAAAATTAATAAAAAATAAATTATAATATAATAATATATAGTAATAAAGTTAAAATAATATTATTTTTCTTGAAAATAAAATAAAAATCTATATCTTAAAATTAACTTTTTCTTAATTTTTTCATTTTAAAAACTTATATGTGTCGTTATTTGTGTCTCTTTTATATGTGAAGAAAAAGATACGTGAAGCTTTTTTTATTATTATTATTTTTTAAATTTACCAAAATTAGGAAATTTTTATATATTCCATATACAGGCATAGTAGGTGTGCGCATAGCAATAAATAGCATAGCATGACGTGTTTCTTTTTATTTCATTTTAATTATTTTATTGTCATAACTTAGTATATTATTATATGTTGTCCACTTGTTCATAATATTTTGGAATATTCAACTAATAAATAGTGTATGAACAAAGCTGTATCATTAACAATTTTAATTTCATGAGCAACTTTTTAACAACTAACTTCATTTAGTATTATTTAAGAATTTAGTTAATAAATGAAGTATAATTAATATTCTTTCATATACAATTCTTTTTACAAATACAAAATTTAATGAAAGTCAAAATGTTAGTTATTTATGCTGCAAGATTTTTTCATATCGACTATATATCGGGTTAAAAGTAAAAAAAAAAAAAAAAAATACAATACTTTATATAAAAAAGATTCTATAAAACATTGAGAAAAATATTTTCAGGCAAAGATAGTGTAAGTTGAAAACTTTTTTTTTTAACTCAAATTCTTACCAAGGAAAAAAAAAAAACAGAAAATATTTTGTACCAGAAGATGGCATTAATCAATCTTTGTCACACAAATAATTTAAAACAATTTCTTTGGTTTGAAAAAAGGAAGCACATATATTTTGGCAAGTGGAACAAACCTATACAGCAAATAGGCAATAGCAAACAAAACAGCCAATGATTTTTTTAAGTTGGAAGTTTAATTCGATTGTTTATATAATCATTTTAAAAATCAAATTCAATAAATTGAAAATTTAAATTTTAATATTTATAATTTTTTATTTTTAATTTGCACATCCTTTTATATATATATATATATATAAAAAAAAAAAAAAACCAAAATCTGAAAATTGTCCAACTCACCCTCATAAATTTTAACCAAAGTTGATTTCAAAATGAGCTGTCTCAAAATAATCACAATCAGTTAATTTTAACAGCTCCGAATGCAGGGAAGTAAATTTTCTAATTTTATATTCCTTTTTTTAATGGATTTTTTCATGTTGCCGTACATACAACATTTTGCCGTGTAGTTTCTCTCTTCTATTCCTTCTTTATAAATCAACTACAGACCACAATTGAGGGGACTTATATCAACACTTTTTTCTTAGATTTCTGGTTGTTGGGTCTCCCTCAATTCTTCATTCCAAAGCTCATATATTTTGATTGTTTTTCTTTCCGGATTTGGTCAAAAGTTGGCTTTTCTTTTCTGGGTTTGGCTTCAATTGTTCCTTTTGTGCTTGTATTAGATTCAGTTCAAGGAAATATTAATTGGGTTTTTAAGGTTTTGTTGATTGGAAATTTGGATTGGTTTCTTTTCTTGGATTTTGATATCAAAGACTCAACCTTTTTAATTGTAGATTATATAAGTAGTCTTTAATTGCAAAAATCTCTGTATATTAAATTCATTTATTGGTTATTTTGGTAATCTATCTGGAAAATTTTACCTTTTATCGTAGAAGATTTGGAAAATCTTCTCTTTTTCCGACCTCAAAAGGGTACAAGGTTTGAATTTTGTTGCAGGTTAGGACTATTAAGATGGGGTTCTATTTTTTTTGGGATTTTGTTATCAAGGAATTAATGTTTTAGCAACTAATTTTTTACTTTTTATGTGGACAGATTTTTAGGAGTGTGCGCAAGGAGGGTTTTAGGCCGTAAGGTGGTTTATATTTTCTTATAAAGTTGAATCTTTGAGAGATTTAGGTGATTTAAAAGATGACAATTGGGGATATAACACCAAAGAAGGAGAGAAAGTCAAGGAGGAGCAAACATGTGGTTGATGATAAAGCTCCCTTGCTGCCAAAACGACAAGATGAAGATTCTGGTTATGATGAATTTAATGGAGCTTCTTTTACTGGCGCAGTGTTTAACTTGTCTACAACAATTGTTGGTGCTGGGATCATGGCCTTGCCTGCTACAATGAAAGTTCTGGGACTGATTCTTGGGATTGCTATGATCATCTTTATGGCATTCTTAACTGATGCCTCAATTGAGTTCTTGCTTAGGTTTAGTAGGGCTGGAAAAACAACTTCTTATGGAGGTCTTATGGGAGATGCTTTTGGGAAGTATGGAAGAATCTTTTTGCAAATCTGTGTATTGGTCAACAACATTGGTGTACTCATTGTTTACATGATTATTATTGGTATGACTTCATTTACTACAACTGAATTGCATATCTGGTTGTTCTTTGATATTCAATTGTGCTTTGAACATGTGTTCTGATAGCCTTTCTTGTTGACTTATTTATTTCCTACATTTTCCTTGCCTGATCTTATGGAAATGTGTAAATTTGCTAATGAGCTTATGATGGTTTATTGTTTGTTGAAGGTGATGTGCTTTCTGGTACATCATCAAGTGGAGTTCACCATGCTGGTGTCCTTGAAGGGTGGTTTGGAGAACACTGGTGGAATGGGCGTACCTTTGTTCTTATTGTTACAACCCTGGGCATCTTCTCTCCGTTGGCATGTTTTAAGCGGATTGGTTAGTGTTTTCGTTGTGCTAGCTTTACTGAATCATATTTAATCGTCTTGCTTGTTCTTAGTAGATCATTGGATCTTATTATGTTGAGTGTATTAAAACATGATTGAAGCAATTATTTTAGTAGTTTACTGTAGCTCTGTCAAAATCCAATTACCTGGTTGGGAATTTTAAATATGATATCAATTCCTGGAGGAATGTAATCGAAGCATATTGTGTTTCTTTCTTTTATTTTTAGTTTCAAGGTTTCTGAACCAGATTTCGTATTGTTTGTATCCTTTTTAGATAATATCCAATATCTTTCAAATATGGTTGATACAAATTCTATTTAGGTCTTTACCATGTGTATCATATAGAATTTAGCAGTACTCTTTTACTCAACCCTACAACTTAGTATAGCATGTGATCTCTCAGAACATCATACCAGTATAAATCTAAGCTGGATAGTTTGTATTGCATGTTTATTGTTTAATTGTACGTGGCTAATGAGCATTATTTCTTCTCATGGTTGCAGATTCCTTAAGATTTACATCTGCCTTATCAGTTGCTCTGGCAGTTGTTTTTCTTGTCATTACTGTGGGAATAGCAATTGTCAAGTTGATTAGTGGAACTATAATGATGCCTAGATTGCTACCTGATGTCACTGATTTGAGCTCATTCTGGAAACTCTTCACTGTAGTCCCTGTTTTAGTCACTGCATATATCTGCCACTACAATGGTATGCAATTTGATTCAGCCATTAGATTCTTTGATTTAAACAATGTATTTTTCATCTTTTATTTTGGTGCAGGATTTTAAGAGTGGCTGATTTTCTTGTGTGCTTAAATTTGCAGTTCACAGCATAGATAATGAACTGGAAGACTCTACGCAGATAAAGCCAGTTGTGCGAACAGCACTTGCTTTATGCTCAACCGTTTACATAATGACAAGCTTTTTTGGATTCCTCCTATTCGGTGATGCAACATTGGATGATGTGCTTGCCAACTTTGATACTGACCTTGGTATTCCCTATAGTTCGCTTCTTAATGACGCTGTTCGTGTTAGCTATGCTGCTCACCTCATGCTTGTATTCCCCATTGTCTTCTATCCACTGCGACTCAACATGGATGGCCTCCTCTTCCCTTCTGCAAGGCCTTTAGCTCTGTCTAATATGAGGTTTGCTTTTATTACTGCTGGACTCATCACAGTTATCTTCTTGGGTGCAAATTTTATACCCAGCATCTGGGATGCTTTCCAATTCACTGGAGCAACTGCTGCAGTTTGCCTTGGGTTCATTTTTCCTGCTGCTATTACTCTCAGGTGAGTTTTTGGTCTTCAATTCGATTAGATATCAGCCACATTTTAATTCCCCTTCCTTCACATTGGTGATCAACTTTGTTATATCATACATTAGAGTAGACTGTTGATGAGCCTAGATATTTATTTGTTATGGCAAGGGCTCATTCGCTTGGGAATAAAAAATTAAAACTGAAACATGGTTGGCATTGGCTCAGAAATGTTAATAAGAAAATAAGGTTAAACTGCATATAGTACTCGTTTTTAATGTCCAGTAGCTTGAAAAGTTCAGTATTGCTGTCAATTATCCAGAATCATGAGATGTTACCATTGGTAGGCTTTCTTAATTTCCATTATTGGTATAGCTGATTGTGAGTATAAAAAAGGAACCCTCTTAGGTTCATCTTTGGTTTAAAAGTGGATGTTGTTATTAAGAATTGTTACTCCTGCCTTACCTGGCCTACTCTTTTGTTTAGATATTACTTGATTTAAGTTCTTATTTTGTCTTGATTGTTTTCAGTGGACTTATTAATTTTTAGTCCAATAATAATCATAAATTTACATTAAATCATTTTCCATTGGTATTTCAGGGATCGGCATTTTATAGCAACGAAGAAGGGCAAGTTCTTAGCACTTTTCATGATTGTCGTTGCTGTATTTTCAAACTTGGTTGCTATATATAGTGATGCCTATGCTCTTTTAAAGAAGAATTCTGGAACAGGACTCAGGGCATGATCTATCTGGATCTTTCCCTTGATAGCAGGGAAGGAGATTTATGGTCATGTTTCCATTGAAGAGACCTGCTTTATAGAATCATTTGATATCAAATTTGAAACTTCGTGTTTTTGAAGGAGGTTTCGTAATCTATTTAATGAGATGAACTTTTCTTCCAGTGTTTAAAAGTTAGATTGTTAGGGAAGTGTACGGACTGTTATACACCATCCCCCCCCCCCCCAAAAAAAATAAATAAATAAATAAATAAATGCAATATCAGCTTCATGCTCGATTTTGAATCATGTGTAGACATTATGTAAAATTTCAAATATTTATATTCAGATTGTAACAGACTAATGGTTATCATTCCTTGATAATTCTGCCTGCCTGTCTTTACAGTAAAGATGTACTTTTGTAGCCCTTCCCGGAAAAATGACCACCTCCGTTTCTCTGAAACTGTCCTATATATTTGCCTAGTCTAAAATTAAAACAAGTGTTCTTTTTTCCAGTGTGAGGAGTTTGGACAATTGCGTAGGCATTGATATGAGTTGTGATTAAAATTGGTGTGATGTTTTTGTTGTGAAGACAATTTATGACTAAAATTCCATTCTCAGTAAATATTTACCTCAACTAAGACGTTATATTGTTTTTACACTGAAAACATCAATAATCAATCACCAATCATGTATCAGGAGCTCTAACCAGATGTACATTACTATGTTTGAATGGAATGGCAATTTGCAGATGAAGCTAAAGTTTAAGCTTGATGCATTTAGTACTTTATTATGTAAGAACGGCATTTTTTTTTCTGTTGTCTTGATTTGCATCTTCATTTTTTTTTTTCTTCTTTCCTTTTAGGCCCAGTTTTACCAATTAATTTTTTTTCTTTTTTATAAATTTCTTCTTCTATTTTCTTGGTTTGATCACATTCCAGTTCTGAAACTCAAGGACTTAAATTCTAGGCCAAAATTTGTATTCCTTTTTCTGTTGCTATTGGATTCAAGTTTTGAAATATCATTTTAAAGCATTCTGGTTTCAAGTTCTTCGAGGTCCATATTACGCTTTGATATGTGAGCTTTTAAGGTATTTGGTGGTAACTTCACATCTGCTCTGCAGTTTTTAGTCAGAACAAAATGACTATTAATAATTTTGAGAACACTCCAAAAAAGCATGAACAAATTGTCGTGAAAGCCCATTTATTACCAAGAAACCAAGATGAAGTAAGCAAGGTCAATGAAATTGGAAGAGCAATTCTTTCCATGGATCTGTGTTTAACTTGACATGCACCATAGTCGATTATAAGCTTGCCTAAACCTTGAAATTTTGGGGTTAGTTCCTGGAGGTTGTCCTAATTGTACTTTCTGCACTCTTCACTAAGCAAAACTGCATGAGCTGGTGTTACTCATAGCTTCACTGTTCCTCCAAACCTCAAGATGTGCAATCAGGAAGAAAAACACCTAGGCCTTTCAATTTTGCATTTTCTAGTTTAAATTTACCATATACATAATTAGTTTAGTAATACAAACTCTCCAGTACACAGAACTTACAAATAAGCAGAACACTTTTTTGGCTAATAAATAAAAGCTATTCATAAATGCAATCGCATTTTGTTTTAGCTTCACAAGAAAAGGTAAGGGTACCTTTCCTCAAAGGTATTTTCTCTTGAGTTTTTTAACAGTGAGACTTCTCTTTATTTTGTAAGTCTCAACACTACAGATTGAAATCCCATCAAAAAGAGAGAAGAAAAAGAAGAAGAAAACACTACTGAGACATAACACATAGAACACCCAATTAGGATGAATATATGTATGTGCACTGCAAAAGCACTTATTCTCATTTCTAATCATTGCCAAGTCTCACATGTAACACACAGAACAATCACCATTAACTGCTTCTACCTATTCATTATATTAATTACTATGTTACAATGCTTTTTCTTCGAACTTCAGCAAACTAAGATCGGTTATTCTTTAGCATGCTAACATGACATGATAATGACAAGATCACATCCTTATTGTTTCCTAGGAAGGTAAGGTACAGTTTACTACATGAAAAAACCCAAAAGTCAGAGCATACCAATAGAGGCAAAAATGATGTTAGTTTGACAGATTATTTCTTGTGTATATTTGAAAAATATAGAGACCACAAGTTATATTTGAAACATAATTATTCATTCATCATAAGGCATAGTGACCACAAACATTAGTTGAACAAAAAATTAGTATTACAGCAGAATGAAAAGTTGATTAGAATAGTACTAGAGAAACAACTAATCAGTTGAAGCAGTCAAGCATCCTCCAACACTTGATGGTACGCTCCAGGCTATCGCTTTTGGATAATAATAATTCAATCATCTAAAATTTCTAGGCACATTGCCTCCAGTTGTTCCATGAAAGAAAGACAACTATAGACTTCATCATGTTAAAGAGATTTTATTGGAGATGGGTCTGGAAGGAGAAATGGATGGCTTAACAGCATATCAACAGTCCACATTTTACCAAGATCCCATTGAAAACACTTCATCAAGAAATCTTTCCCTGTGCTTGACATGGTTTCTGGTATTTTTGGCGAATATATTGAAAATCCAATCTTGATCCCCAAATCCGTCAAGTCCTGATATTCCCATGGTAATTTTCCAGTGATCATTTCAAGAACAATGCACCCTATGGACGATATATCTAAGGTAGTACTGATGTGTCCATAAATAAAAGATTCTAGTGACATGTAAACTGCTGTACCTGGAAAAGTTGGCATCCAAGGATCTGGCATGTGATATCTTTCTCTAGGTCGCCTAACTAAGCCAAAATCAGCAATCTTCAGTCTGCTAATTGAACCATTCTGATAAGAAGGAAAAACAATGATATTTTTTGGCTTTTGAACAAAGCCTCTCTGATGAATATCCCAAACCCTTTCAAGCAGCATTCTGGCATAGCACTTGGCATCACCTTCGGGTATCATGCCCCCATATTTCTTGATCATCAAGTCCAAAAGACTACCATGAAACGTATTCAAGAAACAAATTGTAAACCAACATCCCTTGACCTTGGTCAATGCTCAACATATCACCATAACATTGAACAATGTTACCACAATCAACAAATTGTTTAAAGATTTGTAGCTCCTTCCAAAGTGAAGTAGAATATTGGTAAGGACAAGTTTTCACAGCAAAAACTTGATAATCAAAAAGAGGGCTTTTGGGTTTCACAAAGTGAACAACTCCATAGGAACCCTTGCCAAGAGTCTTAAGTTTGACCCACTCCATGGTTAAACCATTCCTTGATACTCCTTTTACTACAGGAAAATCATCTATGGCTTTTCATGAAAGTCAATAAAAGAAATGAATGAAGGGTTTAACCAATTGATTTTTTTTTTTTTTGGAAACTTTAGGCTAATTTTGTTTGAGGTTCAAGATATATGTATAAACATTGGGGAACAAGTGCTTAAGTCAGTTTTTCACTTAACTTAGTTGTACTTGAATTTGATAATAATGAAAATTGACAATTTGTGTAATATCATGTAATTTAATTATTCTTAATTATTGATTTTCTCAATCTAGGACAGCCAATGGGTGCCACGGTTACTATTACATAATTGTTTTTTTAATCATAATCTTGTTTTGTTTTATACGGGTTTTTACCTTTTTATTTTTATCAATTAAAAGTAAAAAAAAGCAAAAAATAAAAAATAAACTAAAAACAAGTTAAGAATGACAAAAAAATAAAAGATGAAATAAAAAAAAAACCAATAACAAAAAAAAAAAAAGTATCAACCAAATAAAGCCAATAATTTAAAAAGTTATCGTTTAACTTATTAGGTATTACTTTAATTGTTTATTAATTTTTGGCCTGTTAATTTTCTCAAAATTTTATTTTGAAATTCAAATTTTCAAACTTCTCATTTATTTCTTGAGTGTTTTATTTATCAATATAAAATTTAAGTATTTTTTTATGTATTCAAATATACATTAATTTTACTTTAAGTAATATTTTTATATAATTAGTTTGAATTGTTCAATAAAAATATTAAACATTGTTTTACCTTAGATTATTTGATTGTTTTATATAAATATAGTTCTATTAATTACAACTTAAAAATAAGAATTAAAAAAATACAATTTAAATTTCATTATACTAGAAAAAATGTACTAATCATTAAATTAAAAATCTTGTTTCATAAAATTGTATTATTTTACATAATTATTTATATTGTGGATATAATTTGTACACTAAATATAAAAATATGAGAATCTTTACGCAAATTAATTTATTTACATAAATTATTAAATAATAAAAAATATTATTAATTTATTTTTAACTTAAACAATTTTTTCTTTAAACCTTAATTTATATTAATACTGGATCTCAATTCAAGTGACAACAACACAATTATATGTGCTATATGACCTTATTGATCTTGCTGGATCTAGCACACTAGCATTTAAGAAAATGGGCTAGTTGGGTATAAGAATTTCACATTCTTTATCCATTATCATGTGAATAACTTGAGGCATTGATGGTCTAAATCTAAATGCAACTGAAGCGCGATATGAAGCACATTTGGGGCCTTTTTTTGTCGGAAATATTATCTCTAATGCAAGTGTCTACTATATGAGTCTAATCCAGTTGAGCTAAATAGATATAATAAAATATTTAAATTTGATTTTGATTCAAAATTTATTATTTTAAACTCAATTTAAATTTACATTCGATTTCAATCAATTTTTAATTTTTAAATTCAAATTTAATTCGAGATAAAATTAAGTTATTTGAATTTATTTGATTAAATTTTTTTTTTAAATAAAAAATGAACTCGATTTTCATTTTCAATTTTAAGTTCGATTACGCGTTCGAATTTGAGCTCAAATATATAAAAAAAATATATTTTTAATTAAAATAATAATATATTAAAATTTAAAAATTCGATTAGATTCACGAGTCATTTAATTGAGATATTAAAATACTCAAAGTTGATTTATTCAATAAATTAAATTACTTGAGTTTAAATTTGACTTGACAATAATCGAACTTACAAATATTGATCTATCATTTATACCCTAATTATCAGCTTTCAATTAATTTATTTGATTTGTAAAAATGACCAAATCTAAGGTTAAAAATTTCAGACATAAATATATTAAAATAAATATATAATTATAAATGTTCACTGGTATATAAATAAATATATATAAAAAATATGTTTATTGGCATATACAATTATCTAAAAATTTATATATTTATTGGTATCTTTGTAGGTGAAATATAACTATATGTTTGTAATTTATATACTCCATGTCTTTTCCTGCATAGAAAAATATTTCGGATCCACCCAAAAACTGACCCGACCATTTTCCCTCCTTGGTCTTTTGGTCCGTAACCCATTTTTAGATCCACTTAACAGTGCTCGCTATGGCGGGTTATTCTCCTCAAATTCTGCAGTATCTCTCCGCCTCTCTCTCTCTGCAACCATGACTGCCACGATGGGTCTACCGCCTCCCCGAAACCCTAAACCCTGACCGAACCCGAACGCATTACCCCAGAAGAATCCGAATCCGAATCCGCGACAGCCAAAACCTCGATGGGTCCTCCATCACCTCCTCCCAAAACCCTAAGCCCCAAAATCCCCAAGACGAAGAGAAACATTCAAATTCAAATTCAGAACCAAATTCGATTGAAAATCGATCAAATTCAAAGCAATCTTCTGTGCCTTACACAATCCCTCTGTGTAGTGGACCTACTTCTCACTATTTCTTCCTTGAGGTCCTTAAAGATGGCTGTGTCGTTGACAAGTTTAAAGTGTAATTATTTTTACCATTTTTGAGCATTCATTTTTTTTTTTTTTTGGATTGTTGAATAATTGTGAAATTTGTTTGTATAGGTATGAGAAGGGAGCTTATTTGTTTGGGCGGTTAAATCTTTTTTTATTTGACTATGTTAACATTCTATGCGCATTAAGGTAGGAATTAAATGGCTTAAATTTGGTTGGTGAAGTTTGCAGAATAAAATAAGGACTAAAATAGTTTATTTTGTTGGGATTCTAAAGTAGATTCAATTAGCTAAGTAAGAAACTTTATGGTTTTAAATGGCAAATGACTTGGATGCCTAGGAAACAAAGTCTTTTTTTTTTTTTTTTTAGATTTTGTCCTCTTTTTGATGTTTACTCAAATAAGTAAGAAGTTTACTCTTCAATGTTATGGTTATGGGCATAACATATTTCAATTTCATTATGGTTATTAGCCTTAGGTGATTACGATTGGACGTTTTAGAGCATACCTACAATGTTCAAAAGTATTGGCTGGGCTTCCGCCTTCCTGGCATAAATATTTTCTTATCTTAAAACTTTTGCTTCAATCAGTTGGGAAGTTATTGATACTAATAATTTATTTTTTAATGAATCAATTAAACCAAGATTAGATAACATATTCTTTATTTTTCCAGGATTTGTATATCTATTGTAGAGGGTGAACACAATAGAACCTCTGTTACCATAATCATTTGATTTTTGATTGCAAATTACTCGAAGTTGCTTGTTTTATATTTTTATGTGGAAAATTTTATGGACGTGCTGCTAGATTATAATGTCTTGTGCTTGTGATATTATGCTAAGTTGATTTTCTTTCCAAATTAATTAGGTAACCAAAAGAACTTATGTGGACTTACATGTAGGTGATGTCAAATGGTTTGGCTAGCAAGTAGACTTTTGCTTGTCTGTCTTTACTTGCTCATATTTTATTTCTTCATCTTCTTTCAATGACATTCATTTGTTTTATTTTTGTTTGGATTATTTTTCTTACTCATTTGACTGGTATCCTTTGCAAAGGGAAAATGTAATATCAGTTTTAGAGCCTAATGATTGAGCATTGCATGCTATTCTGTTGTGCATATATATCCTTTTGTTCCCTGTCCCTACAAAAGGACTATTTAGCTTAGTTCCTTTAAGCAGTAATGTCTCGGGCCTAGTAGATATTGTAGCGGGAAAAAAATGATACAAGTATTTGCTATAAAAGGCATAGTTTCTTCACTTGTAAATTCATCAGTTATTTTTATAACAATAGGCATTGATGGGCGGAGAGCTTGCTGATGAGGTGCGTAAGTTTCTGTAAATCTTATGTTTAATAGCTTGGGTTTCAGTTTCCTCTATACTTTCTGAACCTTTTAGTGCTTCATTGCAATTACCTTCTTTACTATGTTGCACATTCTTATTTTTTGTTTTACTTATGGAAGAAAAAGGAACAGAGGGAGAGAAAAAAGGTATTATATCAGGTTGTGATTTTTTTTTTTTTTACTTTTTTATTGTGCAGTTCATTCCGTTTGTATATTTTCCAAGGGCCTTCTGAGTTGATGCCACCGATAAAACTTTTATGCTACCTTTTTTGGTCATTGATTCTTTCATTTGATTATAGTTTTTCAATTTAGGGCCAGGTACAATTACTTTTTTCACTTAAATTCTTTTGTTTGTTTGCACAAATCTTTTCTTTCTTAGAATTTCCAGTTTTCAGTTTCTAAAAAATTATTGCAACTCTTGTCAATAATCATATTCAATCACATGTTGGTGTCCCATTTTATGAAATCATGTACATACCTGTGCAGTGCCATTCTTGTGTTAAAAAACCCTCTTCGTGTTCCATATACGTTCATTTTAGTTTATTCATTAATATATGAACAAATATCTGATTCTTAACTGCTGGGAAATTATAACATCATGTGTCTACATCCAACTACCTGAATTTATTTTAAGTGGAACTCTCTTTCAGAATACTGTAGATAGCTGTGGCTAGAGTAGTTTACTATATTATCTTAAACCTTTGAATTTCCTGTGGATTGATGAATTCTTGCCACCTTTTCCTGTGGAATCAATCATTTTTCATTTTAAATTTCTAAAAAAGATACGAAGCAATCGTTGGAAGGAGTAATAGTCCAACAAACTAACACTTGCAACTCCAGTTGTATCTTTTCCAAAGGAGGGAAAAGCACTAAGTTATTATATATACTTTGTTTACTTTACATCTTTTTGAAGATATGTTATGAGGAAGTACTTGGTTGAGTTATTTGTTCTGGATGATAACCTTCTGTTCCGTTTTAACATTTAGTTGCATTCTATTCTTCTACTGGAAAAAGAATCAGAAAGACAGCAGAACTGCTTTATTGTTTCAGTCATTAAAATTTTACTTCATATTTTTTTATGCACTTGTCTTTTTTTTGTTTGATTGATGTAATTTGTCATTTTGTGTTGTAGGAAAAAGACTTGAATGTCATCAGAGAAGCTAAGATGCGAGAAGAGACATTAGATCGAGAAGCTTCACTTAGACGAGCAAGGGCAGAAGCATCTCTTTCTGATGGTGTCTC